CAAGTATCATTTGTCATAGCAGACTTACTCAGCCCCAAGAAGTCTGGGGACAAATTAAGCCCTGGATGGGGGATCGGGAGAGGCAACAGGGCCCAGGGGCAATGGCGGGGGGGAGTGTTGGCCAGGGGAGGAGGCGGGGGGGAGGGGGGCTGGAGCCTAAAACCCCGTGGCTGGTGCCCAAAGCCTTGTGGCAGGAGCCTGCCTTCCCTGCCACCCCTGGGCTGAAGCCCAAATCCTGAGCCCCACCGCCCCTGGGAAAGTGGGGAACTCACCGGCTTCCCAACTCTTGCTAGAAGCCCCAGCAACCAAGGCTGTCCATTGAGGACACCAGGGATGGGGAGGGGGCACTGGTTTCCCCCTCCCCAATCACAGCCCAGGCGGCTGTAGCCACAAGAAGAGCCCCTGGTGGCCACATGGAGGCCACATTTGATAAACACTGGAGATAGACCCTTAGAGGTTGTTTCCTGTCTGATACAATTTCATGTGGAAAGACAGGCAGCCACTAGAGTGCCAGAGGATGAAAGATTTCTGTGGCAGGGATCCTAACCCACCCCAACTCTAGAAGACACAGGTAACCAAATCAACGCATTAACACTATTCTCAACCACCGTTCCTGTCCCCTAAACTGGTACAGATGATAAGCACTGAGCCAAACGTTTGCGCAGAACATAATCTGATATGATGATAATATATAAGAAATCAATTCTGGTAGCCCCTTAATCATTTGTGCGACTGATTTTCTTGCTGAGAAAATGAACATTTTTCTAAAAAGAAAACTGCAGTTGCACAGACACTACTAGTAAAATAATAATTTTAAATATAGCCCCCTCCATTCCAGGCTTCCCTGGGGTCTCTCCCAATTTACAGGGAGAACAGAATCTCCAGCTGTTCTCTCCCTCCCCCAGTTTTCAGAAAAAAGTTCCCTATGTAATTAATTATTTAAATAATAATGATTAATATAATTAATAATAGAGATGTGTCTGAAACAGACCAAAAACGTTTCTGGGCAGAATACTGTTTCCTAATCAAGGGTGCTGAAGGGGTCCCAAGGAATAATATTTCCAACTTACCTTTTGTTTCCAGCAAGTCTCACCAAGGACAAATTTTATGCTGTTTCTGGATGAACCCAATTTATAGTTCCCACGAACCAATTGCTGCAGTGGGAATGCTTTGCCTCATAGTGGGAGTCTGCCATTTCCTGCCCCCCTTGTCCAGAAGGATGTGACACACTGGAAAGTGACCTGGAGACAGCGCAGCACACATCATGTTCAGGAAATGATCCCGTCAAATGAACATTGTGTGCTCGCTTTTCCTGAAGTGCAGAAAAAAAAAATCCGACTATTCCTGGCTCTGAATGAGAGCAGTCATCCTCTTAGGGGAATCACTGCCCTTCCTCCCCTTTAAATAGCTAGTGACTTTATCTAGTACTACACCGAATGAGATGAGTGCTAGCCAGTCAGCTTGCTGGATGAGTGAACCCTCATGTGCTTGTAACAAATAAGGAATAAATAAAATACACTTTCAACCAATCAGTTTATTCGCTAAGCCTAGTGTACTTTTAAAAACTGAACTCTGATGGAGATCCTAGTTCCTGACTGGCTGGAGCACACACACAACATGAAAGAATCACTGGCCTACACCAGGGAAGCTGTCATCGGTGGCGAGCAATCGGTGTAGCTGCACCAGTGCTGACTCTTGAGTGTAGACAGGATCATGCAGAGGTTTGTAGTGACTGAGCTAATAGAGGTTTATCCCTTATCCTGACTTTGTTCGGTTTACAGTCCTTACCTGTTGTGTCATATTGAATTGAGGCTGTACATTCCTCAGGGTAGGGACTGTATTTATATTTCCTTTTGTTAGGTGCCTAGCATGGTATTGGACGTTCAAATAATTTGTGACCAGAATGAAGGGTGTATTTGCTGGATAAATTAGTCATAATGAATTAGTCACCCAGCTCTAGTTCTAACACACCCTCTGGCCTGCCTTTAGACAAGCGACGTTGGCAAAGTCCTGGGTGTGCCATATTTTTCCCGGGAAAGTGCATATTCCAGGAGAGGGCCGCCTCAGTGGCATTCTTGTATTATTGACCATGTCAGTGACCAAAACCCAAGTGTAAGCTGAAAATCTTCTTGTAGTAGCCAGCTATCTACCTATGCACACAGGATGGCCTTTTAGTTAGTTGGCAGGTGGTCTCTCACCAGAAGTGTTATAAATAATCAGAGCTGAGGATATGTTTGTTGGTGTGAAGGTTTGCATGGCACTGAGGATGGGAGGATGGATGTGGCTGAGGAGATGGTGGAGAAGACAGAACAAACATTGAACAGCTACAGGTGACCCCTGCCGATAGTGGTGGGGGGGGGCGGAGTGATGGCAGCGGCTTCAGCAGTGTTACTGAGCATGCTCAGTCCGTGTGAGCATGCTCAGTACAAGCCAAGCAGCAAACCTGCCCCCCCGCCCCCGCGTCTCCTCTGGACTATCACCATTCATACAACAAAGTGCTGTTAAGGACAAGTATACTGGAAGTACTGACCTAGATATCTGTGATTAAATGAACCACAGCATGTTTCATTTGTAGAGCTGATTGGATTCCAGCCCCCACCAATGGAAAAATTTGACTTTTCAAAAATCTCAAAACTGAACAAAAAAATGACCAGCCCTATACATTTGGTTTGCAACCTCTCTTGCAGAACCTAAAACTTGATGAGGACTGGTGTACTGCTCTGAGCACAGGGCTAGGAACCAGAAATGTTTGAGTGTTAATTCTGACTCTGTTGCCGGGACAAGTCAAGTATCCTCTTGGACTCATGTGCCTCCTCTGTAAAATGGTAAGAATATTTATCAACATCACCCAGCTGATGTGAAGATTCATTAATTTGTATTTGTCCCATGCTTTGAAGATGAAAAATGCCAGGTAAGTGACAAAAATGTTTTGTTGGGGAAGAGAATGTGCACAAATGCAGCTGTGAATGGAATGTTGTATTGGGGCTTCAAATACGTTACCAGCTTCTGGGGCTTTGACAGGCCAAAAGGGTGTGTTTTTCAATTGTATTTGCTCAATTGAATTAGCGTAACACAACTAAAAACCCTCTAAAATTCTTGTACGGCTACATTAGGAAAATGGTTGAGTTGTTTAAAACATGCTAGCTAATACCTTTTCAAAGCCAAGATCTAGTCTACACTACAAAAGTTTGCTGGTATAACTATACAGATATAATCCGCCTAGCATAGGTGTAGTTTATACTGTACCTGCAAAAGAGGGCTTTTGCCAATATGACTTTTTCCAGTTTGTAGAACAAAATATGCTATGCTGATTAAAGGACTTTTTTGCAGGTATAACTGCATTTGCGCAAGGGCTTTTGCTGGTATATAAATGTCATAAAAATCCACACCTCTAACTGGCATTATTACACTGGCAAAAGTTTTACGTGTATAGCCAGGGCAAGTTGTAGTTTTTAACATGTTAACACTGCCGGCTAACACAGCTTGAGATGTGTTAACCTGCCTTTTAATAAGGGTTATCAGGGTTTTCAGCTGTGGGGAGCTGACATGATTGAACAAGCATGACTGGCAACACATTATCTTTGCCTGTGAAGACAGGGCCTTGTAGCCTAGAGGAGACTGTTTTCCATAAACCATGGAGGATGATTACAGCTCTAGTATCACCACCATTCCAATGGACAGTGAAGCAATTTCAGCTGCTTTGTGGTTGATCTTGTCAGCAGCATTCCTCCCCGTGGGACCGTGAGCATGGAAATAATGGCTGCTTCCACAGCTCCTTGTGGCTTTGTCTAGGAAAAAAGTGCTTTTTCAAGCATTTGAGCCACAGGTTTTAACTGTGTCTATGTTGGTTCAAAATGGGGTTGTCAGTTGAGCTAACTGGATTGATCCTCCCCCTCCCCCCAGCAAACTCTCTTTCCCTAGCGTAGACAAAGCCATAGAGGCCCAGCGGTAAAACACAGGGCAAGTAGCAGGGGGAGGTTGATTGGCCAGTACCTTACATGGCCAGCTACCTCCCACCCCCAACTATAAAACAGAGAGGAGGACAGATTATTGTCTTTTGCATGAGCCTGACTGTAACACTTCCACTCTCCCTCACTCCTTTTGGTGGCCAGGTAGGAACCAGAGGCTGCAATCTGACAGAGATAAGCACAGCACCCTTAGGAGTAACTGACTGCTTGCCAGAGCCAGGAAGGATATTTTTGCTACGGTGTTCCCCACCACAATTTAATCTAGCATAGAAGGCTCTCCCACCCCCAGCAAGGATGCATGTTTTATGCCTTCCTTGGAGGACTGATCAGTTCAGTTATTCAAGGGATTTCACAGGAGTTTTCTAACACTTTTTATTCTCTGTCAAGCAGCCCTTGGAGGAGCTCCAGATCACTCGGTTAAGCTAGGGTCTGGCGACTTGAAGGCTAGTTGTTTGGTATTTTTCTCTTGCAGCAAGCAGTGGGGCAGAAGGTCATGTACGGGAAAGTGACATGGGACCAATCAGCACCCCTCTGGTGCAGGGAGCCCCACTGAGCAGGATTTCCCACATCTGGATCACCTGGTTGTGTGTCAATGCCAGGGATCACAGATTCATGAGGTTGTTAGCCTCGCTGTAGTGATGGGCTGCCCCGAATAGGAGGTCACATGATAGGCACTGGGAACTCAGCTAATGGAGCTGGTCACTGGGGTATGATTGACAGGCCAGCTATTCCCACCCCCTGGACCTTTTGCACATCCATCCAGTTGGCTAGAGCTAAACTGTTACCAATAAAGGTCATTGCAGATCTTTGCACCACAAATCTGCATAGTGTACTTTAGATACAAGATTGGCATTAACATGTGTGGGCATGGGACTAGGCTGTCTATAAGGGCTTTGCTATCTCTAATTTCTATCTTGTAAAAAAGAAAAAAACCCACAAATTTCTAGAGCTTTCCACTCTATTCCTTGTTCTGTTTTATTTCTTGTGCACGCATAGGAGAAATGAAACATTAGAATGTCAGAAGCCCCTTCATTCACATTACACTCAGTTACAGTTTGGATGGCACGATCACATTTCCCGTACACTCATATGATAATGATTTCCAATCAAAAATATTTCCCTTGGGAAATGAGTGGTCCAGGTAAACATTCTGGATAATGGAGGGTGATAAGACATGGTCCCACATATAAAGGTCACTTATTTCTCCCACAAAGCTTTGGGCCTTCTCAAAGCTGCCCCAGAATGTGTCTGGATCTTGCCCCAGCATGACAATGCCCTGTGGTTGGATCCTATGCCCTGGTCTCAGCACTTTTCTTAGGCTCCTTTTACCATTTACCCAAAAGGCTGTGAGACCAGATTTGGATTCCCAGGTCACACACATGTGACTCCCAAAGGTATTGAGTTTGGGGAGGGTGAAGTGCACTCCAGGACCACTCAGGTACAAACTAAAAGTGCCATTAAACTCTTGCCACACATTGAGTTCATCATAGTACTTGGTGCGGTAGGAGAAAAGAATGATTTCTCGATTGGGCGGTAACTCTGAGGCCGCCTTCATGCAAAGTGTGAATGCTTCAAGACTCAAGGGCTGTGCTGGAGACAGAACAACATAGCTATTGTCTGTTTCTTCCGGGAAAATAAAGGCTTTTTCAAGGAGACCTAGGACAGAAATCATAGCTAGTTATAATCACACCTATCCCACAGCAACTGCAATTCTTCCATCATGACCCTCTTTGAGGCATGAATGGGTTTGATTAGAATAAGACCAGGAGAGCAGACAGAATGTGAGTAAGGCAACATGTCCAGAAGTAATGAAGAACCTTCCACAAACGTGTCCACCTTTCAAACCAAGTGTGTGATACCAGCTGAAGAGAAAAGGATTTACTTTTCAATATGTGATTTCATTCATTCTCCTTCACAGCCTTTGTGCTGCATGATAGGGTGGTTTGAATAAGTATTGCCAAATGGTGTGTCACGTGTGTGATCATGCTCAGTCATAATAAGTGATGGGTGAACCTTGACATGTTCTGAGGTGGCTGGGCTTTGATGAGATCACCCATTCAAAAAGGCATATACTCAAGTATATTAGGGGGAAGGATGGTCCAGCGGCTGTCTCTTGTCTTATACTTAGATTGTAAACTCTTTGGGGGCAGAGACCATCTTTTTGTTCTATGTTTGTACAGCACCTAGCACAATGGGGTCCTGGTCTGTCACTAATGCTACAAGGCTCTATGGTAGTACAAGATAATAATAATAACCCCTGCCATTGAGAAACAGAGGAAAGGATAACAGTACTTATGTGAGCTTTTTCTCCCCTTTGAGGGCGAAGGGGAGTCTGTGATGGAAGCTTTTAAAAAAGAACAGAAGCTGTTAAAGAGGAAGAAAATCTGAGGTTTTTGCTTCAGCTAGTGCAGGATACAAATTATCACTGATATATCTTAAACATGACATAATTTAAAGGGACACTGTCACAGAGTTTGGGCCCAAAACTAGACCTTTAAAATTATTATAGTGTAACCCACACTCTCTCATGGCTCTCCTTAGAGCCCTGCGCAGATACAAAATTTGCATCCGCATTTGATCCATGATCCGCAAACATGGTCTCCGGATATCAAATAGATATCCGTGATTTGCAGGGCTCTAGCTCTCTGTACTTCTTGAGGAGATAGTCAATAGAAGCTCATGCTTTTAGGTGTAGAGGTCTTTGGTTCGCTGCTGACCGCCCATCCAGGGGCAGCATGTTACAATAGGAAGTAAATAATAATATGAGTATATCACTGCAGTTGCAAACAACGTAATTAAGACCGAGAAGAGAAAGTTGGTGGGTACGTTAAGGGGCTGGGATCAGGAGCCCTAGGTTTTATTTTCAATCTTACACTGACTCACCCTTTGAACATGGATACATTACTTATCCTTTTTTCCTCATTTAACCTCATTTACCCCCACCTGTCAAAGGAGGATAAAACTACTTGCATACCTCAAGGGGGCACGGGAGGTAGCAATGCCTAATGCTTTTAAACTGCTCTGAGACCCTCAGATAAAAGTACTATATAAAGTGTGAAATGTCATTACTATTTGAAGGTTTCACCTACAGCCCCCAACTGAAACCTCTCCAGCACATCATCAAGGCTCTACAACCTATCCTGAAGGACAATCCCTCACTCTCACAAATCTTGGGAGACAGGCCAGTCCTTGCCTTCAGACAGCCCCCCAACCTAAAGCAAATACTCACCAGCAACTACACACCACGCAACAAAAACACCAACCCAGGAACCAAACCCTGTAACAAACCCTGGTGCCAACTCTGTCCATATATCTATTCAAGGGACACCATCATAGGACCTAACCACATCAGCCACACCATCGGGGCTCGTTCACCTGCACATCTACCAATGTGATATATGCCATCATGTGCCAGCAATTCCCCTCTACAGTACATTGGCCAAACTGGACAGTCTCTACGCAAAAGAATAAATGGACACAAATCTGACATCAGTAATTATAACATTCAAAAACCAGTAGGAGAGCACTTCAGTTTCCCTGGGAGATGGAAAGGAAAAAAGACAACAAAAGACAGAAATCTGTGTTTTTATTAAACAAAGAAGGTGTTTGAAATATTGCTGATGCTTTTTGATTTATGCTGCTTTCAGTAGTGGCCGAAAGTAATGTAAAATCAATGGCTCTGCCCTCCTGGGAATACCTTTAGCACAGGGTATTGTCACTCAAAAACAGACCTAAAAGTGGCAATTCTTCAACAAAAAAACTTCAAAAACAGACTCCCACATGAAACTGTAGAACTGGAATTAATTTGCAGACTGGACACCATCACATTAAGCCTGAATAAAGACTGAGAGTGGTTGGGTCATTACAAAACCTAAACCTAATTTCCCCCATACTAATTTCTCCCTATTGTTACTCACACCTTCTTGTCAACTGTTTGAAATGGGCCACTCTCAATTACCACTACAAAAGTTATTTTCCCTCCCTCGGTATCCTACTGTTAATTGAATCGTCTCGTTAGACTGACCTCGCACTTGGTAAGGCAACTCCCGTGTTTTCATGTATTTATACTCCTCCTGTATTTTCCACTCCATGCATCTGATGAAGTGGGGTCTAGCCCACGAAAGCTTATGCCCAAATAAATTTGTTAGTCTCTAAGGTGCCACAAGGACTCCTCGTTGTTTTTACTATTTGAAGGAGGCTCTGCTCCATACAGGCATGGGGTGGGAATAGGAGCAAGGTGGCTTTATTCCATGTATGTGGCTCCCCACAATCTGGTGCTTTTGTGGGGGTCTACCTGGCTCCTGGCATAAATTAAAATAGCCTCAGAGAGGCCCTAATAATTTATGTGTTACTGTCCACCACAGTCCTTAGGGGCCACTGCTATACCTGAGACTAGCCACAGTGCATCTGTGCTTCGGCCACGTCCCCTTCCCACTGGATGCCTTCTACACTAGGGGCTGTAAGAGGTGGTGGCACAGAGAGCTTGTGGGGGATAGGGAGGATGCTTGGGGGAAGGGTAAGTAGCTAGAACCATCCAGGGAAGCCCCTGTGCTAAAGGTATTCCCAGGAGGGCAGAGCCATTGATTTTACATTACTTTTGGCCACTACTGAAAGCAGCATAAATCAAAAAGCATCAGCAATATTTCAAACACCTTCTTTGTTTAATAAAAACACAGATTTCTGTCTTTTGTTGTCTTTTTTCCTTTCCATCTTCCAGTTTTTCTTCTCTCTCCTTTTAAAATCTCTATCTGCTTCTCTCCCTCCTTTCTCTTTTCTCCAGAGTTCTACCATTTTTCATTGTTCTTTTCTGTGTGTTCATTCTCATTATTCTCTTTCCTGTGTAAAAGCAACCATGATCCCATGGAGTGTAGAACAACGCTTCCTCTCCATGTGCTTTAGCACTGTTGTATGTGAGGAATAAGCATAAGCTTTATAGGAGGAATGGTATTAAAGCGAACCTGGGGGATCTGCAGTGATCTTGTCTGCCACATGAACTCGGGGATAATAATGAACAAGAGGTTCTCACTGAAGGTGACCTGAAGCCAGCCAGCCTAATCCCTGAAGCCAAATGTGCCTAAATCAGAGTTTGGCCCCAGATATCTGCTATTACTACAGAGAATTTGGAACGTTAGCCCTGTAGTGTGGAATCTTGGGTGACATCACGGAATCATCCTGCCTAACTTTCAGTTGAATCTTGTTCATTACCCATTAGACAGAGAAGATGCTGTGTTTCCCTGGGGATGGGTGAAGAACACATGTGGGGAAATAATTTGGCCTCCCTTGTAAACCTGTAGGAAAGGGGAAATGGAGATGCAGATCTGCACAACTCCTTCCTGAGAAAGCTTGGGAAAGGAAGGGTGATCAATAGGGTGGCTCCAGTCATCTGTGTAAACAGTGGACGAAGAGGACTTTGGGTGATCTGGGAGACTGATAATCTATTCATACTGCAGAGGGAGGGAGAGAGTGTGTGTGTATATCACATATATGCTCCTGTAGTAAGTGTTTACATACTGTATTTTCCACTCCTGATTTTGATCTATCTGCTATTTTTTCCTTAGTGCATAATTTAAAACACTAGAAATAAGAACAACCCTCTAAATCTCCATAGTTTTATAACAATTACTTTATAGATTATAAAGAATCAGAACTGTGGAGAACAGTGATCCATCTGTGATAACTTTCTGTCACTGGATTATAACTAATGTTGAGGAGAGAGAATTCTATGCCCCAAGTAGTAATACAGATGAAGTAATGCAGATGGTTTGGTGGCAGCAGAAGCTCATGAAAATTACCCACTAAGGTTATGTTTTTCATTTATCCAGGAATACAATTCTGCTTTATACTCCACTCCAGGCAAGAGCCAGTGGAATCATCCCCTGGTGTAAAGCCATTTCCTGGGAAGATATTCTAAAATCTTTGGCCTCACCAGCCTCTCAAAGGTCCCAGTTTTCAGGAACAACCAGTTCAGATGACTGCTATTAATTAAACTGGGAAGAGCATCTTCAGTCTAAGGAAATATCCACCAGCTAAGTAAAGAGACTTAAATTTGCAAAGTATATTTCAAGTAATAAAAAAGGGATTTATTTCACATTGTTGCCAGTTTGTTCTGCACAATGAGGTGTTTAACTAGCATTTCTAGAGATAATTTTTTTTTGTCTCATCCTGAGCATACAGTAAACACCATCCACATCTATTACTTGCCTTTTCCTACATATACAGAACTGCAGCATCTCCTAATATTCTTCATTAAATGAGGAATTGATCTTCATGTAGCCTAAGTTTTGAGTGTGTGCGTTTGAATTAACCAGACCTACCGTTCTGTTTTACTGGATTCCGTTCAGGGCTTGTTTTGGGAAGTGGCATCAGCCAGTCAGCCTCAATGCTCAGGTAGCCTGGGAAATATGACATGTTCAGTATTGTTATTACCTTCTATTATTTGGAGGTACACAAATTACCTTCAACTATTTAGCATAGTGGGTCCCTTCCTACTTGTATGTGGGCCAGCTCCAGTCTATTGAGATTAGACATCACTTTCTCTTTTGTAATTCCTGTGGTTCAAAAGGTGTGTTCATCCCTTTGTAACCTGCAAATGTAATTACTCTCTAGTCATTTCAGACCCTAAGAACCATTTCTCCCCAATGCAGGTTAAGCGTCTCCATCTTGCAAAAGTCCATTTTTGAAGCAACTAACAGTTTACCTTTTCAAACCTCGAGCTTCAGAAGCAGGTTTTCAATCCCATAAAAAATTATAATCTTCACCACCCGCAAAATCATTCTTTCACAGGGGCTTTAATTAAATCTCTGACCCAGCAAAGCATTTAAGCACATGCAAAACATCAAGCATGTGAGCAGTTCTATCAATTTTGATAGGGAGTAATCAAGTACTTAAATTTATATACATGCCAAAGTGCTTTGCTGGAACAAGGTCTGCAGAAGGTTGGCTATCAACCAAAAGGGCACGGTCTTAAAAATGTAATTTCAAGTTACCACTGGGTTAAAAAGAGACAAATCCTGTCTGAACAGAGTTAAATAAGCAGTTCTGATTATGATGATTGATTATTATTTATATTAAGATAGTGCCGTGAGGCTAAGTTTGTCTCTAAAGGAAATTGCATTGTATCCTTCCTCCTGGCACAGAAATAAGTAGGATAACACAGGTTTGATTATTTGCTTCTCCATCCCTGTATTCTGCACTTTTTCAGTTTAATCATCCTTGGGACTTTGTCAGAAATCATTGCATCAGCGTGTGTGGAATGGACATGAAAAGAATCCAGAAGACTGGATTTTGGTAATTAAACACTGAGTCCTCATTAAGATTTAAGTTACACAGTAGAAAATAAGGCTAATCATTCAAGAAGTTCACCTCTCAGCAGTGGGAGAATTACACGGGCTGCAGGCCTTGCCTACAAACAATGAGAATCTTCCTCAACTCCAGCCACTGGTGGGTGGACAACAGTGTAACTGCACCTGTCCAAATGCCAAATGTAGCCAAGGCAAACTGCTTTCAAGCAGACATAAATGGCACTCATGCAAATTGTGGTTGAGCTTGGCTACACTAGGGGTGTGCACTGGTACTGCTACCTGGTTGGTGGCTAGTGATGGCTGGGATGGAGGCAAACCTCCGGTGTAGGGAAGACATTAGCCTGAGGGAAGCTTTACATCTGATCGATAAATCTTTACATCTGATTGACTTTACATCTGATTGATAAATCTTATGGTTTTTTGCATCTCTATCCTTGCATTGACATTATGATTTTCAGCAATGTACTCACTTAAAGGACTCACAGGCAGACCAAAGACCTGCACTTCACACAGACTGAGGTATTCAGCTCGCCCAGGAATGGTCACTGTCACATACCGCCCTTGCATTTCTTCACAGTCAAATGAGAGGGTTTCCTCATAATCCATGCGGAAAACTGTCCCACATCTGGAAAGAATAGCACTCTGATTAAAAGATAATGAGCTGTTGCACTATACATGGATAACTAAATCCATGACCAATTTGAATTTTTAAAAGATGTTACATTTTGAGTTAGGGTTGCACAAAACACAGACATATGCTCCTTTTGTCATTCTCATCACTAAAAAAAATGGCTAGTTCTATTTGCTTCAGACTTTTTCCTTTGGGCTGGGACTGAGCAGAAAACAATCTGAAACTACACTTTTCCTGTAAGTTAGAGTGGGCAGGAAAGCAGGCCAAAGAATGGAGAACATCTTGCAACCTTCACTCTGGAGTTGTGAATGAGTCCAGAATGAGTTAGTGAGCTCAATCCAGTTCCTAGTGGATGGGTATCCTCATCAGAAAAACCACCACCACAACTGGCACTAATTGGTACAGTGGTTGAGAGTCCTAGAAAAGACCTAGAACTGAACTAGGCATGGAGACCAAAACCCCTTCTTACTTCTTTAATGGTCTCTCCACATTAAGGTGGTAGCAAATGGTATAGGTAACATACGTACGGCCACTGCATGCATTCTATGGATAAAAGGTCGTTCTCCAGAGCTGTCGCTCTAGCCATAACTAGTATTTAGTAAGGGAAAAAGAAACAGCTTCTAATTCATTCCATATTTCTTTGGCCCATAGTGAGTTTGATTTTGGTATGTTCTTGCAATGACAGCTCAAGATTAGGAAGGATACCTGGGATTCTTTATTCCACCTTGTTCATTAGAGTTCCCAATCCGGATCTCAGCACCGTTTATCCGATCCTTGCAACAGTCTCCTCGGTTTGTTAATGCAACAGAGAAGATTTTATGCTCTGATTTCAAATCCAGCCTCCACCAGGGTGACCATTCTTTATGTGTGTGGGTACACTGTCCCATCAAAGCGTTGGCAGATAAAGAGCCATCGATAGCATTCTGAGCGTTATAGGAGTACATATATCTGCTGGACTGGGAGGCAATACCATGTGGTGCTACATTTGGGACTGGAAAGAAAGACAGTTGGTTGTGAAATTACTACAGGTGTAGTACCAGGGAGACTAGTAGCTTCATCAAGGTAATCAGCCCAAGAACGTGTAAGAGTTAGTGCCAAGAGATACAAAATGCAGCTCTTTAATGGCAAAATAAGGAAACAGCCAAAGATCTACACATTTTATTGAAAGAATTACCCCTATGCCCACAGCTGCAAAATAAAGTAGATTAAATAAATCAGTCAAGATCTAGCCTATCAAAATCATAAGGCAGAGGCCTGCTTCAGCTATCTGCTGATCCTTATTTATCCGGTCTCTAATATTGAGAGACAGCTGGCAAATGCCATGCCACATGGTTACTGTCAAGCCAAGCTAAGCCACTTCTCAGCATAGACTGGACATGCTTGGCCTCTGGGATGTCAGATACCTCCACCGACGCTCTACATTGCGTGGGTTAATCTCGCTCAATTTAGACACATCTTTTACTGAAAACTGGCTGGTTGGCTGCCCTACTAATAGAATCAGGTGTCTGCAGAGCACTGTGGAGGACTGGCAGCTCTTTTCCTCGCCTCTTCTCGAGCAGTGACATCCTGCCACATTGAAGTCAATGGGAGTTTTGCCATTGACTTCAATGGGTCCAGGATTGCACCCAGCTCACTTTATAGTTGCTCACTATAGGGGATATTGATTTGCTTGCTATGGCCCCAGTTCAGGAAAGCATCCCTTTTCCAGGACAGGACTTAACTTTAAGTGCTCTCCTGAATAGGGATGGCCTTAAGCACGTGCTTCAGCACTTTCCTGAATCAGGATCTGTCACAATATGCTACTGGCATGCTTGCTGTAGGCAGCGCTATACACTGGTGCACTCTCCCTGTGACATGTGATATTAGGGTGTACTGTGGACAGATATTATTTGTGCGTGCTATAGGTTTGTAGTGATGAAAAGATAACTCAAAACCTCTATGAAGTGTTAGTAAAGAGAAAGCTGGAGACTAAGATGTGCTGCATTCCAATCTGCAAGCACCAGCTATATTGTATTTCATATGGCTGAGCTTAAATGAGGTCTGGAAAACCTTATCAAGCACTGCTAACTGTCCCAGACTATTCTGGCTCCTGTCACAGACTCTTGAGGTGACCCATGCCTGCCGATGGGGGAGGGGGTGGAGTGAGGGCAGCCAGCTTCAGCAGTATTACTGAGCATGCTCAGTCTGTGTGAGCATGCTCAGTACAAGCCAAGCAGCAAATCTGGGTGGGGGTGGCCAACCCTGCCCGCTTCCCTCCCGCAGCGCGCCAGGCTCACCATGTAAATGCTCTCTGATGGGCTGGGCAGCATAATCCGAGGCTATCTGCCATGCCTGGTTGGTTTACTAATGAGTAAGACTGCGAGTTTGTCACGGAGGTCATGGCTCCGTGACTTTCCGGGACCTTGTGACTTCTGCAGTGGCCAGGTAGTGTGACTGGCCCCGGGGGCCACCTGGGCCAGCCACACCAACCATTGCTGGGGCAGTCTTGGGCCACCCCCTCCCCCAGCAGCAGCAGGCATTTCAGTGTGGGAGGGGGGTTACTTTTACTAAAACTTCCTGTGACTAAAACATAGCCTTACTAATGAGTCTTGGCAGTCTCCCTGTGGCCATACAAGCTAGAAAACAAACAGTTCAGCCTGGCCAGGAACACAAGGTGACATTCTGACCCTATTGAAATGAATGGGAATTTTGACATTGACTTCAATAGGGCTGGGATTTCACCCAGGGTGAAGAGGAAGCACTGCTCCCACGTAGCCGCCTATAGCTACCTCTGCAGTCCTGGTGGCCTGTATACACCCCAACACCTTGTGAACGGATGATGAGACTTCTCCTGTTGTGTATTCTGAGAAGATTTATTTGCTCAGTTCCCAAAAGGCTTCTGCACGCTTTCACAGGCACCATTTATCAGCGCTCACTATAGGTGTGTATTAGCAATGCAGTGGAGATTTGCAGTTTCAGCATGCTCTGCATATAGGCAGGAGCTGAACAAGTAGGCAGAAACTGTCTAGTGGTTACGGTGATTAAGAGTCAGGAAACTTGGAGACTCTGCCACAGACTTGCTCTTATAGCCTGGTCAAGTTGTTTAATTTCTGTGATCCTCAGGTTTCCTTTCCATACATATAACACCCACCTCTGCAAAATACTTTGAAATCCTTGGATGAAATGCACTGTATGAATGCAAAATATTATTGCTACCTGCTGTAGGTTAGTAGCATTATTTATAGGCCACCGAGCTAGGCATTTTTCCATATATGTGTAGAATAACAAATGATAGACTTGTGCTCTCTCTATTACAGCTTGGGACTATAAAGTGTGTGTTCTAGGACAGTGGTTTTCAAACTTTTTTTCTGGTGACCCAGTGGAAGAAAATTGTTGATGCCCATGACCCAACGGAGCTGGGGATGAGGGGTTTGGGGTGTGGGGGGGGTTAAGGGCTGGGGCAGAGGTTTGGGGTGTTAGGGGCAGGGCAGGATACGGAGCCCCGTGGCCCCCAAGCCTAAGAGCCGGACCTGCTGCTGGCCACTTGTGGGGCACAGCCGCGGTGTCATAACAGGTAGGGACTAGCCTGCCTTAGCCGGGCAGCATCGCCGACGGGACTTTTAACGGCCCGGCTGGCAGTGCTGACCAGAGCTGCTGCGATCCAGTGCCTGACACTCTGCCACCCAGTACTGGATCGCGACCCATGGTTTAAAAACCACTGTTCTAGGTTCTATAAAGCACATGCTGAATAGTCGCTCTGCAAGCCTGTGCCAAGTGAACATAGAGTCCAGTCTGTCTAGCTGTATTCCATCATCCATATCAAATTGGCAGCATTTACCTCCTGTTGTTGTCTTTGGTGCTCGGAGTGTTTCACCTGAAACATAGTCAAAAAAACCAAATCATTACCAGAGCTGGTCACATAGCAGAAGGGAAGCATGAATGTGTTTGTTCTTATGTACTGGGCCACTTTTCAAAAGAAAAAAGATGCCAGATCCAAAATTTTGCCCCTGGACATGTAATTACTGTTGGGTTTCTCAGAATTACTCCCTTATCCAAGCTTTCCTTTGGCTCAGCGCTGCATTACATACAAGTCTCTCCTGTGAGGGTTCTGGGGCACTGGACCCAGACGCTGATTTCGTGATTGACATCTAACACAAAACTGAGGGGATCTGCCTGTAGACTTCATTGCTTGTAAAGCATTTTGAAGATGTATAGTGTTATGTGGGTGATCACACCCCCCCCCCCACCCCAGGATAAATGATTCCTATTGGGTATTAAACATTGTGCCCTTGGCACGGGGCTTTGTTGTGCCACATCATGCCTTAACATTGCTGGTATACTTTTCATTACGCTGCACCCAACACCTTGCCCCTGAAGTATATGGGGCTTGCCTACCTTTTGCCTAGAACTAAATTATTCTGCAGCAATATATCATCGCTCATTTAGCCCCTTATGAGAAAGTCAAATGACCCAGAGCCTTTTCTGTCTGGTCAGTCTGACGCTGCATTTCATCCCACTATTACCTTCCCCTCCTTCATCTCAGTCTGGTGTTTTCCATCTGGCTGAAATTATTTGTCCCTGGCTGGCACTGTTGGGCGTAAGGACTCCATTAAAGTGGCTGCCAGTGATGCTTGATGAATAGGCTGGACAGGAAGGCTGAAGGCCAAGGTGGACAATAACAGTACCGAAAGGCCTAATGAAACATATCAAAGATATGCTGGAGAGCAGAGCCCCTAAGGTCAATCAGTTCCAGTGTCCACAGGAGATCTCCCAATGTACCTCTTTTGGATTTAGACATCCCCTTTCAGTGCTTTGGCCTTGACCCTACCTTCCTATGAAAAGACAATGATCCTGATTCTCCACTGCCTGGCAGCCTGTGTAGTCATTCATATCTGTACAAAGGGAGCATATAAAGGGAGCAGATCAAAGTACACTATGGAAGTTTTAGTGCATGACAGCTAGTGTGCTGTAGATTTACACCCCATCTTACCATGCATGAATTCTCTGTATAGAAAAGCCTTAAATCAGATTTTTTTTACTCACTTACCCCATTGATAGTGTTTTATGCTCATTCTGCACTCCCTCTGCACAGGGCTCCAGTAAATTTTGGGGGGAACTTTCCCCAAACACAGCCAGAAATCTATTGTGTGTGAATTCAGTAACTGTACTCACCAGGGAAAATCAATGGCAGACCAAACACCTGCACTTCACACAGAGTCAGGTACTCAGCTCGCCTTGGGATGGTCACAGTCACATAACGCCCTTGCATTCCATGACAGTCGAATGAGAGTGTTTGCCCAAGCTCCATGGACTCAACTGTAGCACATCTGGAAATGAACAGGATCTTATTCACAGAGAGCGGTTATGCATTGTGAATCTGAGAGAGCACTAGCACCATGAAGTCTGTATCTGTGGAATGAAAGCTCCCACCTCTTGTATGCTCACGCGCTGAAATAAGCACATGTTGGCCGGGATTTTCAAAAGGGCCTAAGGGACCTGGGTTCCTCATATCCTTAGGCCTTTTCAAATGTCTCAGCCATGAGGTTCAGTTGATCACTTAAAAGTGTTTCTATTAATGATTTTCTTAAATGACGTAGCTATTAAAATGAAGTCAGTGAAACACGAACACCGTTCATGCAGTAGTATGGTTAAGAATGTAAAAGTCAAGATAAGCATGGTTACCACAAAAACAGGGACCTCATGTGCTTTGTAGCCACTCAGAAAACCAAAGAATTGATTTTTCAGTCACAATGCTGCATAATTCTCTGCATTGCATCCTTTTTTAAAAGGAACTACAACAACAAAAAGCTACTGTATTTTCTTGCCATTCTCCAGCTCTTCATCTTGTCCAGCTGCTGTTTTAGGAGCTCTGCAGGACAGAGTGTCTGGCTGGGAACATAAGGGCATGAGGAGCAGAAGAGGCTGAAGCCCTGCCTTCTCTGAACTACACTGCATTCTGCAGCATTATTCAGCAATTCTTCTTATTCATAGAGTTTAAGGCCAGAAGGAACCATTAGGTCATCTAGTTTGAACTCCTGTATATCACAGACCATTACATTGCACCCAGTTACCCCTGTATTGAGCCCACTAATTTTTGTTTGGCTAAAGCTAACTTCCAGAAAGGCAGCCAGTCCTAATCTGAGGACCTCAAGAGATGGAGAATCCACACTTGTCTTGGCAGTTTGTTCTATCACTATTAAAACATGTACCTTAGCTATCTATTAAAAAATTGTTTGATAACCTGTGTGGCCCCTAACCTGAGAGATCAAAAAGAAAGCAGTGGCAGGAAGGGTTGGAGCATCATCTAGGGACTTGTCTACACTGAGAAATTACATTGTGTCAGAACATGACTTTGAGGAGTTATGGTAACTAGCAAGATGGGGATTGATTCTCGTGTATACTGAGGCCCCTTTATGCTGTTGACAGTGTAAAATCCCTTAAAATGAGGGTAAATTACTGTCAGAGCAATATAAAGGGGCCTTAGTATAGACAAGAATCAGGCTTTCGCTATATGCAAGGACTGTCGCACTCATCATCGTGTCAGCTGGGTTATTCATGACCCACTGACACAAAGTTAAACACAACAGTCCTGTGGCCAGTGAGTGCAGTTTTGCTTAACATGTAATTATTTACCATGACTTCTCAGGGCTGTGTTCTTACACAACATAATTTTCCAGTGTAAGGTGCAGCTCACCTGGAGTAAGGGCACCAAATCTGCCCTTGTTTGTAAGTGCGACAGCATTATTAGTACAATACTAAATGCTGTGAGAATTTTATATATTTCTTGACTTTGGTGGGTTTTGATTAGCAACCAGTTAAAAGGTTTTTGCATCGATTGATGCACAAGACTTGGATTGGTTTCAGAGTAGCAGCTGTGTTAGTCTGTATTCACAAAAAGAAAAGGAGTCCTTGTGTCACCTTAGAGACTAACAAATCCTCACATATGGGAAATGACCATCTGAGAAGACTGACTTTTCACCACTCTGCAGGAGCGTGGAAAAGACTGCACATAAAACCTGGGCTCAAGTCCTGTACAGGAAAGGTACCCAGTCGCTTTCATTCAGTTTTCTTCTACATGCTCAAATACTTCCGCAAACTACAACAGACCAGTACCTGGGATTCAGTGTCCCACCAAGCTCTGATGAGTTCCCAATCCGAATCTCTGCACCATTGATCCTCTCTTTGTAACAGTCACCTTGATTTGTGATCACCACTGAGGACACAATAAATGTTTTGCTCAAATCCACTGTCCACCATGGCTGGAACTCTCTGCGTGTTTGTGAGCACTGTTGGCTCGGGAAATGGTTCAATAAAGATCCATCAGTGGCCCTCATAGGATTGTCCTCAATCTCTCTGGTGCTAGACTGGGAGGCTGTTTTCCCCAGGGCTACATTAGGAGCTGTAAAACAACAAACACAGTTCTTATGCATAACCTGCTTTGGAGAGAAGTGCTAGAGTAAGAACAGCTTGATTATCACAGAAAGAAAATGTGGCAGTTTATAAGATGCACTGAGTTAATGAGCCAGAGTTCCAGTCCATTTCCTCAAGGACAGGAGTTCAATTCTCAGCTCTGGTCACCATTTGCAGTTTCAGCAGAGAGAAGCCAAGGACTGAATGGGCCTGGAAACTGAACTTTCTTATCACCCCTATGAAGCCTGCCCCTCCCAACCCATCAGGTTAAAATGCCTTGGAGAGAGAGTGAGGAACTACCTGAGGGAAACTCGGACTGCTCTCTGCTCAGGGATCAAGAGTACTTCCGTCTTTGGGGGCTGCAAATGCAGCACTTAAAGGTCAACATTGATTTTGAATTGGATTTTACATTACAAATATCACCTTTATGGTTCAGATATAGAGTGCATTTCTGTAGCTCCTGTTGCCCAATTCCTCCAATCTAAGGATTCTTCTATAGGGCTCAAAATTACCTGACGGTCAGACAGCCCTGATCAAAACTGTGCAAATGGAAAGTGAACTATTCCAGTGGGGACGTATGATTTTTCCCACAAAGAGAAATTTTTACTTTCCCAGTAAGGCTGTAGCAGGGGATGTACCTGACACCACAATGATGATTTGCTCAGGAACCCAGTATCATGTTTAAAAAAACCCTCCAATATTTACCTGCTCTAGAGTTATTCAGAGTGATCCATATGTCAGTTTCAAAATGATCTGAAAAATTAAGCAGAGCAGGAGTCACAAGATGCCTTTGAGGACAAGGATCATTTATCCTATTGCATGTTCCTTGTTCCCAGTACTAGAGCACAGCCCATGTCTTCTCTCTGCTGCTTTCCCCCAGCAGGCATAACAGAGAAACCTCACTTCCTGGTAGTTTACCCAGGCAAGGTCAATGTTTCAGTGCACATGGGAGAACATGGGCAGCAGCAATCTGCATATTCCAGGATCTGGAAATCTGCGGAGACCACCTCTTCACCATTTGGCTCAGATCTATTCTAGGATCTGCTCACAGGTATGTCAGCTTTATAAAAAAATCAAATTTTTCTGTTAAAATTGTTTCGCTACTAACACTTATGTTTACTTGAACTGAAAGAGACTACAGGAAAAATATTCTTCTCTGTTCTCTATTTTTCTCTTTATTTTGTGCATTTTACACACTTTGTATACTGTTATAATGGAGGTTGGGTGGAACCTGGCTGAAGCTGGTGGCTATGATAGCTGCCCTTCGTTTAGGACAAAGGTAAGCAGTTAAGCTCCTTTTTGGAGTAAGGTAACTGAAACAAGAAGGACCACAAACAAAACACAGACCATACGCAAGGCTGGTCAGAAGCTAAGCTATGTGATTGGAGGGGTTTCACTGGCAACTGAATACCAATACAGTTGGCTGGATATTGTTTGGTGGAGGTGTGTGCATCTGTGAGCAGAAGCAGAAGGAGGCAGATAAGGCAGCAGGAAAGCCAAGGAGACAGCAAAAGGAGCTCTTTCAACAAGACAAAGCCAAGAGGGAGAGCTTTTGGGGCACAGTGCTGGCTGGACAGTGGTTTGGAACTGTGAGCAAGGAAACTGCCTTCTGCTGTTTAATTCCTACTGTGTTCTGGGAAACAGGACTCTGTGCACATGCCTCGTAAATAACCAGGATTGCTCCAAAGAAATACCTGACTCCATAATCAGTTTCTTCTCCTAATGTCAACAACACACAAGACTCCAAATACTGGCTAACACGTTCAGGTAAAAGGGGTAACAATACCATGAATGTCATGGTCTCCCCCATACAATTAGTCTATATTCTCTGTTTGGATGCATTGTTCACACAGCAACAAGGAAGAGAAAAACATTTTAAAAACAAGAAAATTAGATAGTAAAAATCTATTTACTTTTAACACATGTTTTGAAATTGACTGGCTCTCAAGTTGGCATCCCTTTAATATCTAATAAGTTCTATAATGTGTGGCTATGTTTATTAATAATAATACACATATAATTAATCTACATGCAGAACTTTGAAGATGTAAGACACTAGATGAATGCTAATGATTATATTATGTTTTGGCAGGAAGATAGGCTATCATCTAACAGATCTTTTCCTTCTGTAACTGCTAAGATCCAAAAGGAGTTGCAAAACTTAAAGAGTGTGAAGAAATGAAGGCAAAGTTGGATGAAGTTTGTATCAAAAGTGAAATCAAGCCAGTGGCATACATGGGCAAAGTTCTGAAGGTGATAAGAGGCTGATTTACAGACAAGGAAGATGTGAGAAAAGGAGAAAGAAAAATCAGGACAAAGGGAGAAGACAGAGTTGGGTTTGATGATTCTCCTCTTACCCAACAGAATCACTTCTGGTTCTGGAGACATCTAAGAAATAGAAGTGAAGCAAGCAAAGTAGACCAGGCCTCTTGCATCTCATTTCATCTTTCTTATAAGATTCTAACTTACCTCCATTGGGGATCCTTGGGCCCAGAGTTTCATTGAGCATGAGGTCTACAAAAGAACAAAAATGAAAGCAAAAGTAAACAAAAAATACTCAGTTTCCATCCTGACACAAACTAGTGCTGTCCAGAGGACAACAATTCCATTTTGCACAACTTTTGTTGTTTCTAAATTTGTTTTCGTTCCACATTGGAATGAAAAAAAAAAACACCCACAACCTTTTGAATGTTTTCACTAAACAGAATTGTGTGACATCCATTTTCAGATTGACAACCAGAACTTTTCTATTTCAGGGGTAGCCTTGTTAGTCTGGATCTGTAAAAGCGGCAGAGTCCTGTCGGATGTATTCACCCATGAAAGCTTATGCTCCAGTACATCTGTGAGTCTATAAGGTGCCACATGACTCTTTGCCGCTTTTTCAGTTTGAGTCAGTCTCTTTCTGGTCAAAAGTGACCAAAGATCCCTGGACCAAAACGAAAAACAACTGCCCCCACCTCAATACCCTTCCCAGTGAAACATTTGTCAAAACCGATCTGTTTTGACTTTGACAAAATCACATACTGTACTTCAACAAAATTTCATGTAGTCAAAAATGTTCCAACCATCTCTAAAACTAACTCCCCAGTCTGCCTGCCTGATAGCAGTGCACAAAAATGGCCAATGAAACAAACTAAGACGTATATGCATTTCTTCTGGATCTCTAATATAAAGTGAAGGTGAGTCTGGGAAGGAATCACCTACTTCTGGGATGCCCTCTGTCATACACACCTACATTTAGAATATTCATTAAGGGAGCTGAAACAGTCATTCCATTGCTTTACTTCTACCCTACACTTCTCTCAGATGTGTGACTGGCTCAAGAGGGTCAGCCAGCCAACTTGCCTGTGGAGAGCAGAGAGCTTGCACCAGCTCCAGAATAGAGACCAATTACACCCAGCCTTAGATGGCAGCATCCTGCTTTTGTGCCGAGGACTGTGCACCGTCCAGTCTGGTCTTGTGGCTCACCCTGATTTTAAGCAGGAGCATAAAAAGGACTCACCTGATGGCATGGAGCAGCAGAGTCCCTAAGAGAGAAAAGGAGCTCGTCTTGGAGGCTGGTGCAGCAGCAGTGATAAAGAAGGAATTTAGGGTATGTCTCCACTGGGGCTGGAAGGTGTCATTTCCAGCTTTACGAGACATATTCATGCTAGCTCTGAGAAGCTATCTGATTCTATCTAAGACCAGAGGTTCGTGCTCGGGGCAGCTAGCCCCTCCCACGCTTGTGCCGCTATGGCTACACTCCTATTTTTAGTGCACTTGCTCTATCAGAGCTAGTGTGGGTATGTTTCCTCAAGCTGGAATTTACACCTTCTGGCTCCAGTATAGCCAGACCCTTAGTCCAAGGTTAGCTCAGAGCCAGCTTGGCTCCACATGGTGCGTCCACCTATTGACTGTCTACCACTCTCATGGGTGACAAGAGGACTTGCAAGCCCAGCAAGCTTTTTAGGCCCACTATCTTCATTCAGCAACAATGCCAGGCAATTCAAAATGATAGTAACGTTCTTTAGTCTAAAGAAGAAAAGGAGTACTTGTGGCACCTTAGAGACTAACCAATTTATTTGAGCATGAGCTTTCGTGAGCTACAGCTCTTTTTGCGAATACAGACTAACACGGCTTTTCCTCTGAAACCGTTCTTTAGTCTGGAATTTTCAAAGAAGCCCAAGGCAGTGAGTCATCCAAAGCCCACTAGAATTCACTGGGATTTGGGCCCCTGACTCCTCTGAAAATACCTTAGGAGACAAAAACAGTTTCAGGATTGTTAGCACCATTTTAGGGTTTATGTTTCCCAACAGCATTTTGCCAGGTATTTTATGCTGGAAAAATTGTAAGCCACAAGCCTAGTTTCTTAGTTAAATGGACATTGTCAACTAGAAAAAAAAAAATCACATATTGTCAGCAATTTTGTTTGTTACTTTGGTAATGGGTAACATCTAATGAGATTATCTCCCCCCGCATTTGTTTACAGTGGCCTAAGTTTTACACTATCTAAGTCCAGGAGGGTTTTGACTCCAATGAGAGTATGTGCAGGCCCTTTGTGTATTTGACAGCATTTTGTGCATAGTCAGTTTCAGGGTTCCTTTGTATGTTACACATCTATAGACATCTGTAAACATCAACAACTGGGAAGCAGGAAAAAAAATCAAGTCATAAGTGGCCGTCTTTCCGGAACTGGAGTTTTTTAAAATGAGTTCATGAGAGCAGAGAAGGAAAATTAAACAAACAAACAAAAATCCCCAGAAGCAGACACTAAAACCAGAACCCAAGCATAAGGCACAGAAAACCGGGGAAGCCAAGGAAAAAGATGGAAGGAAACAGAGGCTATGTCTACACTAGAGGTCTTACAGCGCCACAGCTGTAACGATGGAGTTGTGCCGCTGTAAAGTCTCCCATTTAGCCGCTCTGTGCCGAGGGAGAGAGCTCTCCCATTGCAATAATTAAACCACCCCAATGAGCGGCGGTAGCTATGTCAATGGGAGAGCTTCTGGCGGTGTAGCATATGTCCATCTGGGGGTGGTTTTTTTCACAGCCCTGAGTGACATTAAGTTTTACTGACAAAAGTGCTCGTGTAGGCACAGCCAGAGAAAGACAGACAGACACAAACTGTTCTTTAAAAATGTCGGACAACATTCATACCGATCCTTGACACAGTTCCAAGCGTCTCACACTTTGTTTACCATCTCTGTGCTCACCGTCAAATTGGAGACTTCACTGAGTCACAAACCTCATCAAAACTCTCTTTGCAGCAGAACAGGCTTTCCCACATTTCTGGTGTGTCCTTTTCAGCACACCACACGCTTGAGTATGTTTAAAGCATGTACACACATCCATGTAGATCTGATTCTCTCCAGCCAAGGGGAGCCATGCATCGGAACACAAGCCAATACATTCCATCGGAGCAATGCTCTACTTACCAGAAGAATTTACTGGTAGACCAAACACTTGGACTTCACACAGTGTGAGGTATTTTCCTGTGCCTGGGATGGTCACAGTCACATACTGCCCTTGCATTCCTTCACAGTCAAATGAGCGTGTTTCCCCAGGGCCCATGGAGTCGATCTGGGCACATCTGGAGTTGAACCAGATTAATAGCCATTATTATGATTATACTTTGACAACAACAATAGCTCAGATCACGGGAGGAGGTGGGGGAAGGATGAAAAATACAAAGTGGCCCCATAATTCAGCAAATAAATGTCATCATCATCTTATTTTTCCTCAGTTATTTGTTAAACAATGAATCACTATTAAGGCAGAACAACACACACAGACTATTTACTCTAGTGTCGTCTATAGCAGTGCTATAGATAAGGTTGATTCTACAAGTTTGGCATGAGGATCTTTAGGGCCAAATTCTGCCACCTTTACTCACATTGTGTAGTACCTCACTCCTCAAGGAGTTTCCAGGTAATACTCATAAGGGTGGAAGAATCTGATGCTGAATCATTTTAAACAACAGCTTTCTTTAAATCGATACTGTAGATTCATTAAATCAGTGGTCTCCAAAGAAGAAGAGCTGCCGCCGAAGACGGAGCAGGGAGAGCCGAGCTGCCGCCAGCATGCCGCTGAAAGAATCAAAGGTCCGGGAGCACTGCTCCTTCGGCAGCGCTCCTCCTGCTGCACACCCCCAGGGATGGTCTTGCGCACCCCCTGGGGTGCGCGCACCGCACTTTGGAGGACACTGCATTAAATCAATGTCCCAAGGGAAAGCGGTTCTGAGAAAGAAACTGTGAAAGTCTAATTAAAGGACCAATCTTGGTTCAGGAGCCACTAGCTTGGTCCTCTGCACTCACACACAATAGTACCATGAGGGACTCGGCATGAATGCTGGGGTTTGTGCTTCTCACTTCCAGTGCAGCATCAAGAGTCTTAAGAGAGCAAAAAGCTGATCATGCAATTACTAGCAGGAGAGATGAGGAAATTACTTTTAGCCTCTAAAACCCCAACTACACATCATGCTTGATAGAAACCATTTTAAAGCATGTTAAAAGCACACACACAAACACACGCACAAACACAAGTGGTATGAACAGAGGCAGTTGTGCTGGCCAATGGGAACTGAGCATAGCTTAATTAAAACCATTATGAGCAACAAAACCATTTGAGATCTGTTCTAACCACTTCCACTACATTTCCTTCTGTGTGCTCAAGCACTTTCATTCAGACCATCAGAGCATATTACCTGGGATTTGTTGTGCCGCTTCTCTCCGGCGAGCTCCCAATTCGGATTTCAGCCCCGTTTATCCGCTCTTCACAACAGTCTCCTCGATTGGTGATCTTTACTCTGAACACTTGAACCCTTGCTTGCAAATCCAGTGTCCACCATGGATTAATTTCTAAATCCGTGTGACTACATTTGCCTCTCAGGTAATCACTGGATGGGGACCCATCAATGGCATTGCCAGGGTTTCCATATTTGTCATAGATGCTGGACTGGGATGCTACACCTTCAAGTGCCACTTCAGGAACTGCAGGAAATAATCAGGAATACCCTGTTTTACTGCAGGTGAGCTTAAAGTTTTGAATGACAAACCCTGTTTGCACTGGCAGAGAAATTCTTAAGGGAACGCTTTCCCAGATACAATCTGAAGGAATAGCTGGCAATATTGTAAAACTCTTTTCAGGGAAACATTTTAGCTAGAAGGTCTTGGGGTAGGGGAGTGCATTCCATTGTCTGCATTTGGGAGCTAAAAGCGTCTTTCAGAATCATGATCAAGTCTGTCAATGGTCAACAGAGAAAACAGATGGCATGTAAGAGGGTACCACACCACTGGTTCTGTAGCTGCATCTGGCAGTGATGGACTTGGCCTGCTTATAGGAATCCTTCCCACTAAAATAATTAGATAACAGGGAGGGGAGAAATAAAAGAAAAGAATAATCTCTAAATAGCATTTACCTTCATCAGTAGACAGTCCCTTCAAGGCTAGTATAAGCAGCAGGGAGAGGGTATGTAACATGTTTGGATAGTGACCTTTTCACTCTATTTGCAAACAAAATATTCAATTTCTGTGTCTGAAAAATGGACAGCTCCCCTATTCTGGGAGATGGAAGGATTTTGAGGGTTATTAAACTCATTTGAGCACCAATATTCTCCAATCAGAATTGTTCTAAAAAGAGGAACATTTTGTTGCCATTGGCTCTTATCTGGCAGAACAAATAATTAAAGGTCCCTGTGACTGATCAAGTGGGAAGAAAGATCAATAATGAGTGGGGAACTACACAAGGGTAGAGTCCCATGTCCATGCAGAGTCCCACTGAATTAAACACGTTTCTGCAGGGCTCTGCCCACACATAACACATTGCAGGATCAGTGGCCAAGTCTGTAAAGTTTTAGAGCAACACTGTTTCATGACCTGCCAATAAATAAATTCTTGGAGTGTATTGGGGGCAACTTCTTACTTCCAAAAGTGGAGGAAGTAACCAGGGGGACTGCCATTTTAGAGGTGATTCTAATCAGCAGGGAGGAATTGGTAGCAAATCTGAAGGTGGAAGGCAATTTGGGTGAAAGCGATCATGAAATGACACTTTTCATGATTGTAAGGAAAGGAAGGAGTGAGAGCAGCAGAATAAGAACAATGGACTTCAGAAAAACAGACTATAAAAAACTCAAGAGAGCTGGTAGGCAAGGTCCCATGGGAAAAAGCTCTAAGGGAAAAAGGAGTTCAGGAGAGCTCTCTTAAAGAGAGCATATCAAAGGCACAATTGCAAACTACCCTGATGCAAAGGAAAGATAGGAAGAGGCCAATATGGCTCCATAAGGAGCACTGTAATGACCTGAAAATCAAGAAGGAATCTTACAGAAAGTGGAAACGTGGATGAATTATTAAGGAGAAGTACAAAAGACTAGCACATGCACGTAGGGACAAAATCAGCAAGGCTCAGCATGAAATAAGTTACTCCTAGCAATAGACATAAAAGGTAATAAAAAGAAGTTCTTTAAATACGTTAGGAGCAAGGGAAAGATGATGGAAAGTGTCGGTCCTCTACTTAGCAGGGGAAAAGATAATAACTGATGACATCAAGAAGGCTGAGGTGTTCAATGCCTGTTTTGCTTCAGTCTTCACTGAGAAGGTTAATGGTGACAGATACTTAACCCAATTAATATTAAAAACAAGGGGGAAGGAACAGGTTACAGAATATGTAGATAAGTTGGATGTCTTCAAGTCAGCAGGGCCTGATAAAATTCATCTGAAGCAATCTCAGCACCGTTAGCAGTTATCTTCAAGAACTCATGGAGGATGGGTGAGGTGCCAGAAGATTGGAGAAGGGCAAGTATAGTACCTCTCTTTAAATAGGGGAACAAAGAGGACCCAGGGAATTATAGACCAGTCAGCCTAACTTCGATACCTGGGAAGATACTGGAACAAATTATTAAATAATCAATTTGTAAGCCCCTAGAGGATAAGTTCAGTGCCTGTCAGAGGCTTGTAGCTTGACATCAGCATCACAGTGTGAGAGGCAGCCCAGGCTGGTGGGGTTGGAGGGCTCAATAGTCCCGCACTCCAAATTGCACCACAGGGACCCCATCACAGAGACCAAGCTGAGAGGGATTGCAAGCACTCTGGAGGACAAAATTAGAATTCAAAATGAGTTCTGCGAATTGGAGAGTAGGTCTGAATTCAACAAGATGGAATTCAATAAAGGCAAGTGCAAAATATGATATTTAGGAAGGAAAAATCAAATGCAAAACTACAATATGGGGACTCAGTGTCTAGGTCAGGGGTGGGCAAAATATGGCCCGCGAGCTGCTTTCAGTCCACCAGCCATTTTAATTTGGGCCTCAAGCTCCCACTGGGGAGTTGGGTCTGGGGCTTGCCCCGCTCCAGTGCTCCAGCTGGGGAGCAGGGTTGGGGGCAACTCTGTGCGGCTCCCAGAAGCAGTGGCATGTCCCTCTTCTGGCTCCTATGCATAGGGGCAACCATGGGGCTCTGCTCCACACGCTGCCCCCACCCCAAGCGCTGCCTCTGCAGTTCCCATTGGCAACTTGAGGTAAGTGCCTCCCAGAGCCTGAACCCTGAGCCTCCCCCTCCCACCCTCTGAACCTCTCAGTCCCAGCCCAAAGCACCCTCCTGCATCCCAAATCCCTCATCCCCAGCCCCACCCCAGAGCTTGCATTCCCAGCCAGAGCCCTCCCCCCTGTGCCCCAACCCCCTGCCCCAGCCCTGATCCCCCTCCTGCCCTCCGAACCCTTCAGTCCCAGCCCAGAGCACCCTCCTACACCCCAAACCCTTCATCCCCAGCCCCACCCCAGAGCCTGCACCCCCAGCCAGAGCCCTCACACACCCCTGTACCCCAACCCCCTGTCCCAGCCCGGAGTCCCCTCCTGCACACTGAACTCTTCATTTCTGGCCCCACCTCAGAGCCCGTGCCCCCACCAGAGCCCTCACCCGCTCCCTCACCCCAACCCTAATTTTGTGAACATTCATGGCCCGCCATAACATTGCCATACCCAGATGTGCCCCTTGGGCCAAAAAGTTTGTCCACCTCGGTCTACGTTTAATTGGTGCTGCTTCAGTGCAGAGGGCTGGACTTGATGACTTCTCGAGCTCCCTTCCAGCCCAAAGTTTCTATGATTGCATGATTATAAACTGAAATTGTGAATGATCATAAAAGCGAACAATACAGAAACATTGCTGGTAACGCACTCGGATATTTTTTTCTTATTTGTTTTAAACATTTAGCAATGTCTTGTTTTGGAAAAAAAAAGTAAATCTAGGTCTTATTAAAAATGGGGGAGTGAGAGGACTGGTAACAGCCGGACATAGTGCATTTTGAGTAATACACTATGCCAGCTTTGTCCACACACAATTTGATCTATGCTCCTAAAGGCTCAGCTTCAGGACACCTTCTATTCCAGTCTCTTGTCACCACACAGATCTATCAGTGCACCTCAGTCTATGTATATTTATTTTATTTTATCTAAGCCCTTCTTCCTCCCCCAGTAAATACAGCCCCTGATTCTTGGGTCTGGCTGCTCTGAGCTGGGGGCTGACTTGGTACGGGGGAGTAATGGTGGCTGTATGCCACCTTTGTGGCTCCCCAATTCTGGAACCAGCCAGGGGCCAGGTCAACTCCTGTTGTAAGTTAGAGTAGGCCAAAGGGGGCTCTCATTTATGCGTGGCTGCCCACAGCTGCAGGAGGCCATGCTGGCAGCCGGGAAAAGCTGAAGTGCAACAATAAGATGCTCCACTGAAATACACAGCAAATCTTTCATGATTAGTGTTACCCGAAATTGGGCCAGCTAGTAAGCTTAGGGAGAACTAATGACCCACCAAAGTTTGGCAGAAAGCAACACGTTTATTATTCTGATAGCTAAGCTCAAAAGATGGGGGGGTGGGGAAGGTGTCACACTCTCATACTTACGCTCCCAGGACAGGCACAGCACTGGAGATGTCAGGCTCCTTCAAGGTAAGTGTCCCACAGCACAGCGATGGATGGTGCGATTAAGGTAAGTCTTCCCGAGGCACGATGGAATGCAACTCAGTGAACCACTGGCCAGGCGGTCCGGGCAAAGGGCCTTCATGGGAGGTACAAGCTTGTGAGTGCACTCCTGAGCATGTGGCCCCTTCCCCTTTTAAGGACCTGCTCCTCATGGCCTGCGACTAGAGATGACTTGGCCACGTCTGGTTGGTCACACTGCACCTCAGGCAGTGTCCATGCAGTGTCCATGCACTGGGGGTGTGAGTGCTGCCTAATTAGAGTTCCAGACACCTTGTCTACCTGGGAGCTCTTCTGATCTTCCAGCTGTTCAACCAGCCCATTCATCCCACAAGCATTCCAGGAGGGAGGGGGAGGGGGAAAGCCACTTCACAGGTATTCAAAGACAGAGAGGAGACAAAAGTGGTGGGAAAGTGTAACAGACCTTTTGAGCATACAGGTTATACAGAGCAGAGTCATACAGAGCATACAGATCACTGCTGCTCCTACAACAATTAGGAGATACAGTACTATGAAAATGTCTTAAAATGAGTCCTGAATGAAAGAGTCTCCTCTAAGATAGCACGAGATGGTGAGTTTACTCTGAGTCCTGTGGAAGGGGAAACACGGAGCTGCATCACCCCAGGAAGTCACTGTAACTCAAAAAGCGGCAAAGAGTCCTGTGGCACCTTATAGACTAACAGACGTATTGGAGCATAAGCTTTTGTGGGTGAATACCCACTTCGTCAGATGCATGTAGTGGAAATTTCCAGAGGCAGGTATAAATATGCAAGCAAGAATCAGGCTAGGGATAACGAGGTTAGTTCAATCAGGGAGGATGAGGCTCTCTTCTAGCAGTTGCGGTGTGAACACCAAGGGAGGAGAAACTGCTTTTGTAGTTGGCTAGCCATTCACAGTCTTTGTTTTAATCTTCAAAGACAACACTCTGAGTCACATTTCCTCCAGCTCTCCAGTTTCACACACAGTTAGAGGCATAGGGAGTATAGTTGTTAGGCTATTGCCAGAGACACAACACATTTGCCAGCTCCTG